TTCGATGTCCATCAAACAAAAAGTGGAATTGCTGCAAAAAATGGATAAAGATATGAGATGTGACGAGAGTTAGTGAAAACGTAAAAATTCGATTGACAAGGTTGTCGGTATTCTTGACACAACAATTACAGGACTTGAACAGTGGAAGTTTATAAGTGAACAAGAAACTGTCTGTTTATAGAATTAAAGAGAAATTATTAGCACAAAATCAAAACAACTTACATTGATAGAAATGTTTACTAAAGTAACAAATAAATATTAAGATTTTTTTGTAAATTTGATACCTTTAGATCATAATTGTTCTTTCATAAATTACGGTTTCATATTTTAATTTTAAATTTCTGCATGCCATCTTACGCGATTTAAATGATGATCTATAACTTCGGAAAAAAATCGATAATCCGGAATCGCCGAAGTCCCGACGGTCTGGATTAACGACTTTTGACTGTATAATGAGAGCAAATTAGTTTATTTTTCTATGGACATTTTTTATGTGGGTTTCATATCATATGAGACTGAAAAAGGTACGACTATGAATCGTATTTTTTTGCATCGTTATTAGAGAAGGATTACAGCGGTATCCTTCTCTCTGTTGTTAAATACATTACTCTCTATCTAACTCACCTGGCATCAGGTACTTCCGTTAGTAACTAAATAAATACAAAAACATAACAATACTTCAAAACCAAGCAAAACTATGACAAGTTCCATACATATCAATCAAGCAATAAGAAAATCATCAAATTAATCCTTAAAAAATAGTCAACAACCTTACCTAAAGAGGAAATCAAATCAGATCTCATACAGGGCCAATTTAAGTCATTTCGGGGACCCTTTAAATTCGTATTTTCTAAAGAAGATTTCTATAGACTATTATACATATTTTACTGCCACTATTCATTTTATTTCAAAAACAAGAAATTGTAAGCATTTATGCAATATAAGCTATTATATACGATTAAATCTGAAGTTATTTCATCCATTTTCACTTTTTATCATATTTATATTTTCACTTAATGCATGTATTACCCAATAACTCGTGTCATATTTATAAGCTGTGCTGGATTACTTTAAAACTGAAAATGTTTGGCCAGATTCTGTTTTCCAGAGTTTTGTTTGTTTCATTTTCTGCTTCACTTCATCGTTTATTACCCTTGTCTTTTAATTTTCTTTCCTATCACTTTTTTTCAACAAACTGATCTTATGAAATTTTGAAATTTCTCAACAGCAAACAACGTGCACTAAAAAACAATTATTTATTAGATTTGTACTACATTTGAAGTCTTTTAGATCCACAGACGATAATTTGAGATCAGGATCTTTGTTAGTGGAACATTGTATCATTACTGGAAAAGAATTACACAATGACCTATTTGTCTCTTGAAACTCAATGTTAACAGTTAGAAAATTATTTTCAACATGGTAAATATAACAAATTTTCATTGGTTCATGAATAAAGTTAACTGAGCAGTTAAAGGGCAAGTTAAAGATTAAAGAACAATTATCTGAAAATGACACCAAAATTTAAACGGAATTCCAAGCAGAAAGTATGGTTAATTTCTGGATTTCGTTACCATTAAAAATGGAATATAGAAAACTGTAAAATAGGGTTTTTAAATCAGTTATTTTTTTATTTATCTATGTGAGATAAGGATTTTCATTACTTCAACTATTTTTTTATTTATCTATGCGAGATAAGGGTTTTCATTACTAACTAAAATAAAAACAAAGGACCAAAATCAACTTGATGCATGTGCCGAGCTCAAACTTAAGCTTACTAGCATACATCCAGACATAAGAACGGCTGTGGAAAAATCGGCATGCTCATTTATGTATTTAACGCGAGCACTGATATTTATTTAATTTTTAGTTATATCCATACTCTAACAGCCTTGAATTGTTAAAAACAAATACAGTCAAAAGTCGTTAATTCGGACACCCATAATCCGGACCTCAAAGCTAAAATCTAATCTGCGCATGCGCCGCGTTGACACATGCGCATAGGCGTTTACGCGTGCGCGCAAGAGACCTTTATGACTGCGCATATGCGTGTGCGCAAGCGCAGAATACGTTTTCGCGTGCGCGTTTAATGTATAACGGACGGTATAAGCTAAAATTATCTATTTCAGTTAATGTTGATGATTGCGTTGTTCCTTAATCTTCGAACTGGATCCGGCTTATTATTTTTTGCAAACTGTAAGAGCAATTTTATAAAAGTAAGCTTGAACTTTCGATTATGTCAAAAAGAATTTTCGATGCTGGAGCTCCCAAAGGATCTAGAAAACAAAAGTATGTTTCGATGTCCATCAAACAAAAAGTAGAATTGCTACAAAAAATGGATAAAGGCATATCCTTTGTTTATTTAACCGTTCCGAAATCTGTTTCACGTTATCAATTTCACGCTGCTCTGCGCGTTTGGGGGGGGGCATCGTGGCGCGCAATGAACTGGAAGTTGATCTGTCAGCACTATCGTTATCTTCAAGGCAGATGTTTTTATTTTATTCGGCTTATAATTCCTTACTAAATGTAGTATTTCATCTCGATGTACTCCGTCTTTGATATTATTTAAATCAAATTCCTCGTCATTATAAATATCACGAATACAAATCAAATAGTTTTCTGGTTGCAATTTTCTAATTTCAGCTATGCGTAATGCTTTACGCACGCGCGCGTTAAAAGAAATGTTTAATAAAGTAAACAAATAAATATTAAGCTTCTTTTTTTGTAAATTTTGATACCCTTTAGATCATAATTGCTCATTATTTTATAAATTACGGTTTCATATTTTTAATTTTATAATTTCTGCATGCCATCTTACCAGATTTAAACTGATGATCTATAATCCGGAATCACCGAAGCCCCGACGAGTACAGATTAAAGACTTTTGACTGTACAACTTTTCTTCGATTAACTTAATAGCTTCATACTAATATATTAAATAAATTTCGATTAATAGTATTTCAAAAATATATGTCTACAAGTAGTAACATAAGTTAAAAAACTGCTTTTGAAGGGGACAGGAGTCAGATGTTTTTAAAACATTTTAATTTATGAAACTAGTCTCTACTTGAAAAACGTTTGAGAAATGCTGATCTAAAATAACAAGTAGGAATTCATAATACAACAATTTAAGAGATGATAAGCAATGAAACTCCTATAAAATTCCAAGATGCCATGATGCAAGTTCCTTCTTACATGAGGCATAAAATCTCCAATAAATATTCAAGATATTATTACTCTTGTTTGTAATGCACACATGTTGTGAAATGTTAATCATTTGTGAATCCCAGCATATTCTGCCTTTAACCCCTTCGAGCCGGGTAGCGAAAACGCGCGCTTATCACGGAGGCTGGCAGTGTCTTACGCGAGCGTCTCTCCAGGGCCGGGAGATTTTTTGCTACTAAGCCTAAATCCATGAAATTTCCGAAGTATCAACGCATTGTTTAATAATGCTCTATAGAGTATTTAAACGGCTTATGCTTTATAGATATTTGTTATATATATATACTTTAATTACCTTATTTCTTGTTTAAATGCATATTTTCACATTTATTTTAATTACCCACCATTTATGACTTTTAACATTATACATCTGAAAACTAATATAGTACTTTAAAATTCTCTTTCGTATGAAAAAATTTGAAAACAGGATCTACACACAGTCCTACGTTACATTCCTTGCACTCGTAATAACTCATTTGCCGTTTTGGAGGATTTTTGGGAATGTGAACAAACGAAGCATCGTCGTCTCATTTTCTTATAAATCTCTTCTGAACAAAGTTTTGGAAAATGACTTTCAGTTAATCTTTCAAAATCAATATCAGAATATCAGAATTCAGAATCAATATCTGAAATATTTTGCATCATTTCTGCTATTTCATGCTCTGTTAAACATTTTCGACACTTCGACATTGCAACGGTAAAAACAGAAAGAATTCACGTCTAACAAGATTAATTATTTTCTAAAAACTGAACTGCAAACCGAAATACTCAACGCTTTAAGCACATATAAAACTTCTACTTACAATAAACAACTACTATGTGTTAAAGGCGATTTAAAGAAACGTAAAATCATGCCATTCGAAACATTTAGTCCCCGTTTGTTTATTAATCAAAACACATGTATGTGAGTTCATGCTTCTCTCATTTCGAGTAGAAGGTCTAAGTACATGTACCTCAAACCATATGGACATACAGTGCCATCTTGTGGCAGAAATTATAGTTTGAAAAACGTTCCAGGACGCTGGCACAAATATGTGACAGTCGGTAGTAAACGAGAAAATGCTCTGTCACGCCTGCGTGTCGGCCAGGAGGTGAGTGTGTTCGTTGCTGGCACGTAGACGTGACAGTCGGCACGAAGGGGTTAATGTAACTATTAAGTTTTTATACCCTTCTTTCATGCAGAAGGAATTTTAATTGCCATCAGTGTAGTTGCCACCAGTGTGTCTGATATTTCATCTAATGTTTGAAGTTAAGTTGATGGACTCCACTGTCCGATCTAATCTGCTTCAGCTCAAAGGAAGAACGTCTTCTGTAGAAGTTTATCATTTCCATTATTGCTTTTTGTTCCCAACTTAGGCATGCAAAAGTAATGCTATATAAAGTATGCAGTTTTATAATTTGGGGGACAAGTGTCCTTTATGCTATCCTGATGTACAGATGTCATGGAAAAACATCATTAAATTGCATTAGATAGCTGTCAAATATGTATTAAACGAAAAATGTATATTTTCGTTTAAATACAATACTCAGAATTTTTTGTGATTACTTACAGAAAAGATATTATTTATCACACCATGAGTTTAAAAAATGTTTTCCGACAGAAGACTAATATACAAATTACAGACAAACATATACAAATTTCAAAACTTTATTTAAATGTTGGTAAAAATATATGCAGCTCCAAAAGCAAAAAAAATGAACAGTATTCATTCATTAAGTATCAAATATATAACAAATACAGAAACTGTAAGGAAAAACTGAAAATTTTAGATTAGAAAGGAACTGTTATACAAGACTAGTAAAAGAAGGCATATTTGATATTACAAACTATACTTAACTTTACAAAACATATTTTAAAATTATTAAAACTAGATTCACAGATTTTCATAATTGTAGAAATATTTTATGATGCACATTTTCAATCAATAGTGTTAAATATCAAAATACAATCTCAGATTGTAGAAAAACATGGTCTTTTATAAATACATTAAGGACAAAATATCCTCTAGAAAAAAAAAACGCAAATATTACAAATATCTTATCAAAACTGTGGAAGTACTCATTTAAGCAGAACACGTACACTGGAATGGCTTAGGCCGCACTTTTCTCCATAGCAATAGCTGAAAAATAATATAAAAACAGTGATAAAGCAATAATTTATTTTAGTGTTTTAAAAAGATCATTTTAGAAAGGCATATTTTTTCCAAAGTGGTAATCAGTCTAATGCTGATTGTTTATTTCAGAGGTATGTTTAATTTACAGCCATTTTACACCCAAAAACTGGAATGCAAAAATATCTTGCAAGAATAAATGCATGGTATTGTTAGCAATTTTTAATCAGAAATGCATTTAAAACATTTGTTATTCCAATAGTTATTTAATATACTAACATTTCATTATTATAAAATTTTTTTAAACATTTTTTAACATTTCATTATTACATATTTTAAAATATATCTTTCGATTTTAAGAATATATTCAATAATTGCAAACTTACTTTCATGTTTTATATTTACTATTATTCTTTTCTAGACAGAAACACAGAATTCTGACCAGATTCACTACTGTGCTCATTTGTTATATTTATTAAATTCTTGTACTATTTGATAGATTTCTTCATCAGTTAGGCTTCTACATTTTGAATTGTTTACAAGAGTAAAACATACAGAAAATTAAGATACAAATAAAAACATTACAAGGAAATATAATGGAGGAGAACCAAATAACTGTAAAAAAGTTTCATTTAGAGTTCAAATGTCTCCAACAGTGGCCAAGCAATAAAATAAAGTTGTTGAACACTAATTTGTTAACAAGCAAACAAATTGGCGGCACGGCATATTCGTGATTCTCTCCATGTAAGTAATGTGGATATGAACCAGTTTCCTTTAGAAAGTTTTCCCTGAAAGCATCCCTCCACTTCATGTACTTTGCCGTAATCAAATAAACGATCAATCAAATCAAATAAACACATAGAATTCAAACTCTAGCTTTCTTTTTTATATGGAATCAAAATTTAAAGAAACATATATTCACTTAACCATATGCACAAACCACAGAATGAGCCAATAGTTTATACCATTTAAAAATTTGTTCAGAGAACAAAAGCTATTTATTGATAGTCCACATACACAGGCCTTCAGCGACAAGTAATCTAACTATAGATCAAATATGTGATAAATTATTTTAAGTGGTTTTGTACTGACACATGATCTGAAAAAAACTAACCCTTTCAATGGGCATTTGAGATATTTAGAGAAACATGCAGGACACCTCACATAAATTGCAATCCTATTTCCAATTTTAAATGTTCTATCCTAAAGCTCTAATGAAGTTAACCCTACGTGGATGAGAATATATTTTCATACATAAACTGTTATTAATTTTTTTTTTTTTTTTTTTTTTTTTTGAAATACTTAAAAGATTCTTTCCCATGTCCATGAATCCAGCTTCCTTCTTTTATTAAAAATCTTAGTTCTGTTTTCAGAGCATATGTTCTTGTTTTTTTATATTTCCATTTATCCATCTGTAAAAACAACTTAAGAAATAATATTTTTACAATGTGGTTGTGGATTCAACGAGTGTGAATTTTTTAAATCTTGTGTTTCCATTCACATGGGTCAGCATCATTGAAGTATTTGGCATTTCTTGGAATGAATTATTTCAGTATCATGATAACTGGTTACTCAGCATAATTAAATCTTCTCTCAACCCTCTCACTGCGTACTTTTTTTTTTCTTTAATCAAAATAGGTTCAAAAATTGCGTATTTTTTTAATACCATATTTCAAATCTACATATATTTTAGAGTTCAAATATATAAAAATTTTATGTAAGAGTTTTTTTTTCAATATAGAATTAGATCATAGAAAAAGGTTGTCAGAATACTGAAATTGAAGAATGATATAAAAGGAAAATTTTCAAAATTAATATTGGTTAAATTTGGTTAAATTATGATTTATTTTATAAAATATAAAAACATATATACTAATGAAAAAATATTTGCATAATGTAATATTTGCATATCAATTTTGCACCACTGTCGAACGTTTTCAATAGAAACTGAATTTTCAGATTCATATTACTATCTGCAGAGGAATCTGAGATAATTCTCATCAGTTTCACTATAACTATCTTCAATACTACTCGCTATATACTCGAAATCAGAGTCAGAACTACTATCAGTGTCAGAAACATAGGTTATATCACTCGCGAAACGCTTCTTGCCAGACTTCTTTGAGCTCTGAAAAGCGCACGAAAAATGCTACATTACATATTCTTGTATATTTGGCAGAAATGTGGACAACTAACACCATCTGTTAGCCTACATCTAAATAAACAATTAAACATCACAAAAAAAGCCAAAAGGAAACCTTGAATGAGGAAAGAGCAGGTTGCACAGTTAAATAGACGGCAAAAATTCATTCCCGCGGACATCGCAGGCTGCGCAAATTTTGCTACTTTTACGTTGCCCGTAGAAGTTGCGGGATGCGCAGCGAGAGGGTTAAAGTAATTTTTACCTTATCGGTTAAAGAAATATAATACATTTAGAAGAAGATTAGATCTTAATAGCAAATAATCTTACAATACACATCTATTTTTTTTGGGGGGGGGTACTTGCTAAGTATGCTAATTTGTTATTTCATCCACATATGTACAGACATTAAAATATTTATCTGTTATAATTTAGTCCAAAATATTTTACTCAGTAAACAGATCCAATTTAGCATGGACTATCTGGATGCAAGTAACTTTTTTTTTTTTTTTAAAGACACTTGTGGAAGAAAAGAATAGTTTGGAAACCAATCTACTCTCACATGGAGAAATGGATCTAAACATTTTTACAATTTGAAATGGACTACTGCTTTTGTGATCTGATGTTTAGTTTCTATGCCCCAGGCCTTGATTGGACTCAAACTCATTTGCCACCTTCAAAGGCCACCACAAGATGGCAAACTCAGAACTGTAAAAGCTAAGCAAGCTAATGCCAAGTTCTCTACAAATATGACAATCATCAACAGCAATGATTTAATTGCCTGTTTTGCAAAGTCTATTTTCTCTATCAGTGATCTCGAACTGGCAGCCTGCAGAACACACATGGCTTCCGAAGGAATTTTATTCAGTCCACAAAGACACTTCAAATCTGGTGGTGTAAATGTTCATAATTTTAGTTATCTGAAATTTGAGTTAGTGTTATTTTCATTCCCATTAAAAATAAAAATGAATAACATGCCAGAAAATCTATAAATGGGTTTAATTAATTTACAGTGTGATATAAATCTCATTAAAAAATTGAAGATACAGTTTTCATTGACTTTTATTTGTATTTGTTATAAAAATAAGTTGAGCAACAAATTTTTGCTCTAAGAATAATCATTTTGTTTGGAAATACATTTTATATCTGAACGGCTCACAGTTGGAAATGAATAAGAAAAAAATCAGATTGATCGATGAGCATATATAATCAATGATGAAGGTTTAAACTAAACCGAAACACTATTATGTGTCAAGGTCTAGTAAGAAATAAATAAGTTTATAATATTCACATACAAGTATCTATCAAATTATTAACTATAATAGTATGAAATATATTACCTTCTTTTGTAGGAAGAGGATTTTTTTCAAGAGTTTCGGTATGTTTCAGAACAGATGCATCAAAATTTTCAATACCCTGGACTAATTTCTGATGACCTTTTTCTTGTTCAATAACTGAAAGATAAATAAAATAAGACGTTCATCATAACAGACGATAATTATGCTTTAAAATACTTCTGGCTATTATGACACATAAAAATTAAAAAATTTTTACACTATAAGTTCTGTTAGTTAAAAACCTCCATTGTTATTTTAAATAAATAACCAGCAGTACAAGTTATGTTTAATAACGAAAGTATAAATTAGATGATTAATTGCAGGTTAAATGTCTTAGTAAATGCAAAAGCACATATTATAGAAGTGAAAAAATATTTAATAAAGATGGTTAACCCTTGAGTGCCCAACTTGGCAATGAGCAAAGCAATTTTTAAATGCTCCTAATCATGCTGTGCATGAATAGATTGGATTGGATTGTTTAAATCAAACAAAGAACAGACTTTTTGTCTAAACTCCAAATTTCAATTCTGAATATCCTACAGGATGGAATCCAAGGGTTTCATGTTTCACTTCCTCTGCCAATGATCCCAAGAGGACATCTGCACTGGCAGATTTTAAGTACCTATAATCTATAAAGATCATCATGAACACAATTCCCCCATTTTTTTTAATTCAAATGATTTAAAAATAGTAAATATTTAGCCACCATCAAGCAACACATCACGCAAAGTGGGCATTTTTTTAATGGCAAGAAGAAGCAACATTTTCTTTAAGCTGTATATGTGCATGACAATACATTGATTTTTGCATACGTCCATAAAAAGTTTTCAACAGCAGTGAACAACACACGTTAACCATGTTGATCATGACAATTCCAAACAGAATACATACGTTAATCATGATGATCCAAATAAACCAGCCATCTAAATATTCAAAATTTTTGCATCCAACAAATATCAGAAAAGTTAAATGAGATTGGGGAAAGATGCGATGGCTCCCTCGAAGTAATGAAAATGCAACACTTTCTGCATACAGCTGTTGCCAAATTTTAAATAGGAATAAATTAAATAATGCATTTAAGTTACTCTCAAGCAGCCTACATTTCACAGCAAATTTGTTTTCCTGATATTTCAAATTTTTGAATGAAATTTCTAATACTATAATGTATCATGCTTCTCTTTAGTCAAAAATAGCATCCAATATTCAATTCTGTTGATATGTAATGACTTGAGACCTTGTAGCAAAAACGAAACATTAAATTTTTAAATTCTTAACTGTAATCTTCTCTAATTTTAGAAAGTATCTCAAATTTAAAAATTAATCACAACAGAATATATATATATTTTAAATTTTGTTCAATTTGATATTTTCAAAATATTCATCAATTTTTGCTCTTAATAGGAGGTTTATAAACATGATTCTTTATTTCTTACATATTTAATCCTTCATATCTGTCATAAAATTTTAAAATTTAGAATTTTACATCAGTCTTACTTTCAGTACTAGGCAAGACTGCCTTTTCCTTTGTCTCTGTGTGGTGCAATGCAGTTTTGTCAAAGGTTTCCACACCACTTACTATGTTTTGATGTATTTTCTCTTGAACAACATCTAAGCATTAAAGAAAGTATTATTAAACAAAGGTTTTTTTTTCTTTTTAAATTTTTACACAAACAGGGATCATTTATTAACTAACACTGATTCAGTTATCACCGGTACACAATCAAAACAGCACTGAAGACAGTATAACAACACTGAGAACAAACAACACTCAGGACAAAACATTTAAAGTTTGTATAAATAATGTTTACAGATCATATATTCCATATTTCAAGTCTTCTTCCTTTCATATTTTAAATTATTTTAAATTGATCGCTTATCTTTAGATGATTTTTTAAGGTAAAATACCGTCATTAAAATAGCTAAATATCCAAATTCTCAATGAACTAGATCTTATACACAAATACTCAGGTAACAAAAAGTACAGCAATTCCATAAAATGTTGGTAGATCAGATTCTTTTAAGCCACAGAAAATAAAATCACCCTTTATGCAAATTCTTGCTCTCTAAAGCGAGAACTCTCTTCAAAGGACTGCCATGATTGGAAAGCTTGAATGTCATTATAATTAACCAACTATTATTATCCACTTTACAACAAACAACTCTGAGAATGTATTTTTATTTAAATCTATAAATTAACATATAATTTATAAAATATGGAACCTTTTGCACCCAGCATTACGACATATGCCAGACTTCTCAAAGTGTAACCGACAATTTTTGTTCCAACAGTGCATGTTTCATAAAAAATGGCACATATTTAGCTTTGATTAATATCAGTTATTTATCAAGTATTTGTTAAAAAAATTTATCTCTCGGCAATTAATAATTTCAGAAAACTTTTATGTAGCTCTTAGTACGAAAGCACGTAAAAGAACAAAAAATGGTAATACACAGAGCAGTGCAAGAAATGTCATACCTTTTAATTACCCCATAAAATTTTTAATATATATTGAATGTTAAAAACATGTATTCAAGTGCTTTTTTAATGGAAAATTCAGTAATATCAGAAGGACTCTAAAATTCTCCAAAACATTAGATTTTAATACATGGCAGATAAGAGCCAACTCAGTGCTCAACAGAAGCTGAAAACTCTAATGTTTTTTTCATAAACAGAGATTTGGTGATAGCACACTTTGATACTAGATGGATTTCTTAAAAAGAGATTTAGTAAATGGATGCTGCTGGCTCTGAGTTGGAGAAGAATCAATGGTGCTCATCAAGTATCTGCATACCTGAAATTTACAACAGGTTTCCCTTTACACACTTAGTTTTTCATGGAAGACAGAGCTGTTCTTGTTTTCCTGTACAAGATGTTTAATGTGCATTTAATGCCACAATGGTTTCTTGCATATTATGAAGATGAGAGACAGCAGCCCTGGCATAGCCTGGACATTTGTCAATGCGATTTCTTTTTACGGGATTTTTGGTATCTATCCTCAGGAAAACCTGCAAACATAATGCAACTCAAGGCTTTTATCCTGCAGCTGTGCCACACAATTTCAGGAGAGGCCAGATGGTTTTAATAAATGCAAAGCTTCATTTACAAGAAATTGCGACCATGCTTATGCAATTAAGTATGCATTCATTTTATAACATCTTAATGATAAACGTGTAATGAAAAAAACAAAGGGTATGATATATCATGCGCAACCCTATAGACTATAAACCACACCAAAACATCCCAAATTATGCAGCAGCACTTGAATGAGTCATAACTTATTGAAGCATTAGCAGTTAGTAATCTTAAGAAGCCAAGGTTGCTGCACAATCATCAAACTGCTGAATTCTCACCATTTGATGTAGGAAGTATGAGCTTTTCTTCTGTACTAGTACGCTTTAATGAATTTCGTTTAAAACTTCTTACCCCATTCAAGAAGTTTTGTTGCACTTTTTCCTGGGCTACATCTTTAAAATGCAAATGTTAAGCATTTATAACTTAATTTACACTTTACAAATAAAAAGTTCAAAATTCAAGCATAAATATGAAATAATTACCCATTGCAAACAACATGCATGACATAGACATAGTTATATAATAAATACACTTATGTATAAAAATAACCAATAGCAATAATACAGAAACTTAAAAAGCAAAAAATATCCTTCATTAATTAATGACATGAAAATGAAGTAAACTGGATAAGGATGCAAAATCAATATACAATTTTTATCCATTTTCAACAGCATCTATGAAACATATAAGATTCTGATACCCAGTTCTTTTTAGGACTAAAAGAAAGGTATGAAACTGTCTTGTATTGCATGCTAAAAATTTTTACATCTCATTTGGGCTAACATTTTAGCTTTCACTGTGAGATATATTGGAACAATCTACACTAACACTATATTTTACATCTATGCACATTTTAAGGCTTCTCAATGACTATGCTTGGAATATTTTAGCATAATATATCATTGTTCTATCTTATTTTCATTATTAATGACAGTCTTACAATTTATATTCAAATAATCAGGAAATTAACACATTTGCAATGAGTTCTTCACATAATGAAATAAATGTTTGGAAGCTATGGTATGAAAACTGCAACATTAGCGATTTTTCTATATAGCAGAAGCTTAATTTTTTTGCAATGTTTGTTTTTAAACCTGCTTCAGTTATTCTACTAAGAAAAAATTGCATAAAACACTGCAGCATTGTTAATTTTCATGCTATTACATATCACTATGAGCCAGTTAGTTATCCTCACAAAATATCATTCAGGCATGCTATTAATTGCTTTTCATTTTTATTTTATTTTGAGAATTATCCAAGATTTTTATTTCTACATATAATAAAATAAAGAGTCTGTCTGTGTGTGTGTCTTTCGTTCGTGCTGCTAATGGACCCACGGCTACGAAATTTGGTGCATAGGTGCATCTAGACAAGAGCCAGTGCACCTCGAAGCGATTTTTTTCAAAATTCGAACTATAATTTTTTTATTTTTATGTTTTGAGATGAAATCGCGTCAATTTGAGACATAATGGGCTATAGGAACAGGAGATTTTACTCTACAAATTCCATTTTCACATCATCATGAAATGTACGCACTTAGCTATTTTACGAACTTAAAATAAATTTTGTGTTTCAATAAATCTATTAAATACGAATTTATTTAACAAAGTGAGCTTAACACACCTTTTCAACGGGATTTTTTCTGAAAAAGTTTATTTTTAAAAATGTACAGTTTTTTTTCCTTTGATTTTTGGACATATTAAACTTTCATCCTTGCGACTGCTTTTACAAAAAGAATTTTGGAAAAATGATAATATTTTGTATTTTTTAAAAAAATTTTTAATGAAGCTTCCGAGTACACTTCTCCCATCTTTTAAAAATGTGATTTTGGCAACAATTTTCCTTCTTATTGTTGTTGATAAATTTTTCATTAAATCGCATCATTTTGAATAGTTTCATTCTTTTAGAAATATGGGTTTGGCAACAATTTTTCATCGTATTTCTTATGTCACTGTTTTTAAGAGATTGGCATATTTCATTCTTTTTTTGTTTGTTTTTTTGATAAATTTGTTCTGCAGAGTAAAATTCTGCACGGAATGTTTTGTTTTTTTGAGTTGCTTTCATGTTATTTTTTGCTTATTTCACTGTTTGTAAGATATTGAAAAGTTTTGCATGATTTTTTTTCTTCAATGAAAAGTTGGTTAAATTGTTTTATTATGATAATTAATATTTGTATTAAGGGATATAGCTTATTTTATTGTAATTTTTTTCTCTTGAAAATATAAGATAAAATATCATTAATTATGCTTTGCTTTTCAGAATTTTTTGTTTTTTGTATTCTTTTATGTTATTTATTGCTCATTTCACTGTTTTTAAGATATTGAAAAGTTTTGGGTGATTTTTTTAGGAAACAAAGTTCTTAACCTCCTTTATACCATTTGAGTTCTTAAGATTTTGCAAAGGGAAGTTAGTTAATTTATTTATTAGGATAATTAATATTTGTATTAAGGGATATTGCTTATTTCGTTGTAATTTTGTTATATGTAATAACTTTTTTTTATGAAGTTGTTCTGCAGAGTAAAATTCTATGCAGTTTTTAAACGTTTAATGTTTGGTGTTCCCTTCAGCTATTTTTTCGGTACATTTAAAAGCCAGACGAAGGCTGGCAGCGAAGCTGCTAGTCAATCATAATAAAATATATATATATATAAAAAATTAAAAATAATAATAATAATAAAAAATTATTCTCAGCAAATAAATGAAAATGACAAGAAAATCTCATATGTATTCATAGAACTTAAAAAATTAATTTTGTTGATTAATATATCTATCTATAATATGAAAGGAATTGTTGCATTATCCTTTGTGGTCACCTAGAATATTTTCACATTTTGAAACAAAATTCATAGTTATGGTTAATACTCTCATTTTTTCTAGAAATGAATTCATATTGCCAAAAATTGAAAGATCAGCTCAAGTTAATTTGTTTTCTACATTAAGACAAATGCATTAATTATATTGTGCATTAATCAATCAATACCTTCAGCATTTGGTAAAATCACTTTCTCTTGTGTCTGCGTACGATGCAGTTTTGACCGTTCAAAACCTTCTACTCCAGTTATAATACTATTATGAACCTTCTCTTGCTCAACATCTAAAATGAAAAACATAATTTTTTAATCAGAAAGAAAATTTAAAGTTGGAAAAACTAATACCTCAAAACCAAATATTCAAAAATTTATCACTCCACATAAGAGCACAGAAACACATAATCAGCTAAATGCAACTATGAGATTCATCTGGTTTGCACCATTTCATTGGAATTGCTATATAAATATTTTTAATTCTGCATGTAGTTAAATATTTAATTACATTTACTTAAGCAACTCATTCATCTATAAATATAATAACTGCTGCTCAAATAATTTGAATCGCCCCACTGGTTAAACAGACTTAAAAATTCACTTTTTTAATACAATAATATGTAAAATGTAAAACATTTATTAGTTTTCTATATTCGTAACAAATAAGGCGCAGGGGTTAAATTAAATCACCAGAACAAAAGACATCTTTTAATTACAGTGAACACCCATTTTACACCTACTTGAAGTAACTAGTTTAGAGACTGACACTAATATCCTGAAACCTGATTACAGACTAAGAAATATAAATTGCTCAGCATCATATAATAGATTTCCAATTGTAAAAAAAATAATAATAATAAAATAAAAATAAAAAAAATTTTTAAAAAAAATTAAAGGGAGGGGGAGAAAGAAAAGGCCAAAATTTAAAGATACCATTCCACACAAAAGTGTTTTTTAATATACTCAACCAATAGCTTATGACCTCTATAACTACAATATTCCTGAAATCTTGACTCCTCAAAAGAAAAGTCAGATAAAAAATTTTAAAAATTGTCTAGTTTCCAAAAAATAGGCTAAAATTATTTCAATAATTCTCGATATAGTATATCAAAATTTCTTATAGTGATTTTGTATTAATATTCAACTGGAGTTTTTTTTTTATCATGCTTGTACCCATTGTCAGTTTTGAAAAATTAGGCATTGTTTTAGCAATAAATGGCATTATAAGTGACTTCATTAACTGAAAAAAAGTATATATAACGAACCTTTTCATAAGCATGGTTTTACTCGTATTTAAATGGACTAAAAATAATTTTAGCTATACAAAAGTCTTAGATATGCACAACTAAAATTATGGAACTATTAATATCAAAATTCTCAATAAAATATTTAAGCAAACTGAATACAGTTCTTTCTTAATACGTCATTTCTATTTTTAATGGTCTATTAACATTTGTACGAATGCCACATTTTAGAATGAACTTTTACACATTTTAGGAAAAAAAAATTATTTCAATATCTAAAAAATTAGACAATTCCTTGTTAATTCAGACACCCCACAAGCCTCCGATCACATCTGAAATTTGCACATTACAGACTGTACAATATGTTTATCAGTTTTGATGATTAAGTGCTACTTTAACTAGGAAGTATCAAAAACTACTTTTTTCGAAAATGCTGCTGCAAATTTACATTCAATTCATTTAAATTCTTATTTCATTTAGAAATCCAATATCATTACTTAAAAATAAGCAGCTACTAAGAATGCTATAAAATTCTGTACTTGCAGGTAGAAATTCCAAAAATCCTCACAGGCGGATGATCACTTTGTACATGTGATGGTTATTTGACAATATTAGTTTCACTATTAAATACAAATATGTCAAAAAAATTCCAAAACTTAACACACAAGTCATATTTGAAATTCTGAAAAAATCCCCATGAAATATTAAATGGCCATATTTCTAAATTCATATTCGGAATGGGGTCCTTACTCAAGGAATTGAATTCCTGGGGTATATTTCATGATTCCTGATGATTCCTTGATGATTTATATGATTCCTTGCCAGTGGGGTTTAATTTACATTGGCCAAACTAAGAGAGTTAAAATTTCGCGTCAAGAAACATGAGGCATATGCTAGAAAAAAGGAAACACAGAAGTCTTCTGTTGCTCAACATTGTTGGTCCGAAAATCACACTTTCAATTTTTCTGCTGCCAAAATTATTCAGAAAACATCTTCCATTGGAGAATTGGATTTTCTAGAGGCATTTCACATTAAAAAAAAATCTTTCTGTTCTAGTTAACGATCCTAATTCCAATCCATCTTTGCCTTCGGCCTTTAAAGAAATTATGTTTTAGTTCTGGTTTCATCAACAGATGGCGCTACTTGGTTATTCCACACTTTCTTATTTTATCTAATCATTATTTCCTATCTTGTTCATTTGCGGTTTTGCAGCTGAGGATGGTGGTTTGGTAAAACCATCGAAACTAGTCCTGTGAAAATTTTAAAAATATAACGCTGATTTTTGTTGTTTGACTTCTGAACAGAAATATTTTTTTAATAATAATTTGAATTACATTTTAAATATATAGAAATATAAGAAATAGGAATTTAAGTAAATACCATCTTTTGAAGGAAGAGGATTCTTCTCCTGAGTTTCTGCATGCTTCATCTTTGATGAATCAAACTGAGCTAATTCATTCTTCAGAGGAGTTGGAACCTTTGGCAAACTGTCCTTGCTTGGGCTGGACATTTTCTGGAAAAAAAAAAGAAGTTACTTTCTTAATTTCGTTACATATAAATCATATAGTCAAAAAAATTGTACGCAAAATTACATACATCAAGTATTTAATTCACATAAAATTAGAGTATTTCTTTGGATATACGTTACATGTTCCTTGTACCTTACTTCCTTAAATATTTTAACATATACAGACTTCATCCCAAATGAAATGTGCTATCTAAAATGAATACAGTAATAATTATACACGGAAAGGCAAAAGCTTTGAATTTTCATACCAGCAATTTGCCAATTACATATTAAGTGTAAGCCAATTTCCACAGTCTACCGCCAGATGGCGTCATGATATTAAAAGATATTCAAAGCATTTGTAATAATAAAAACCAGAGATAAAAAATGTAGCTATGGTAATAGACGATATTATTTACTCATGCAACTTTTTAAAATATAAGTAGAAAAAACTCTTTTGATGATTTTGGTTGTGAATTTCTGTCCCGACAAATAACTCCAGAATGATACACATAGTGTATATAAATGTATGAAAAAAATCCTGACGCCAACATAAGTATTAAATTATCCTTTTGATGATACTATAACAATATGCTTGAACACAGATTCGGTAATAATAAAGGGTGGTCCCTAAATCTCCAACATATTTAAAAACTGTGGAAAATATCTATAAAAGAATTTAATCCAATATGTGTATTATTTAATATTTAATCATTTTACCTTTAATTTTTTTTAAAAAAACGAACAAAGGGGGAGCGGAGATAATCAACATCTAAAATATAAATACATTTTCAGATATTTTGAAAAGTACAGGAAGTAATTCTACTTCAAAAGGGAAGTCCGTTGTCCTTGTTGAAGTCCGTTACTCAGGCCTAAGAAAGGCGATGAAGTTAGAAAAATTGGTCTATGATGGACAGAGGGTATATAATGATAAGAGTCCCGCTGCGATGGGCAAATGAAAGGAGGAGGGAAGGTCCCCAATTCAGGCGGGATGAGCAAGTTTTTCTGAACTGCATCCAAGGTCATTTAATTTCCTTTAGACACCCCGGTGCGTACCGACACAAATTCAAAAAATATTTAAAGTGGATAATCTGAAGACTTGAAAATTCTATTATTACAATCAACTCCCGATTAACCACACCGCGGATTAACCGAACCCCACCTTTCTTTTTTTTAATTGATTTATTTATTGCGGAACGATAAACAAAAATTACTGTCACAAACCATTAGTGTAAAGCAAACTGTCTTATCGAAAAATACAAAACGCGTGGGATGACAGCAATGGCGGAAAATGTTACAGTACTTAGCGGTTGTTTTTATCCACAAAGGTATGTAATTTAATTATATATAATACAGATTGTACAAACATTGAAACACTGTTCAAGGGGAAAAAAACCTACTCCACTGGATTCTTTTTACGCGCATTTGAACTCAGTAACATTGTTGAAGTTCTCTCGTAAATATTGTTCTTTAACGTAGTTTGCCAAGAACTGAAGTCATAATAAGTTTGTTTTTATATATTTATTTACAGTAGAATGGCAACGGTAAGTTAGTTCAAGAGAAGAGAACGTGAAATGTTTTGATGTACTAATAAGGCTGTTAGAAGCGAAAGTAGATTGAAACTTTGCATGTTTCATTCTTTAAATGTAAATAAAGCTGATTTTATTATGATTGACTGAGTACTGCTTGAACTTCCATCCACATTTCTGGTATCTTCTTAAGAAAGTTTACGAAAGTGAAGTATATTATTATGTCTAAAATATTTCAAATTCAGGCAGTCGAGGTTGATCTACGTCCAGAGGCAGACTACATGCTTATTTGCATGCTTTATGCAAAACTGAGCTAGCTAAATTAAACGTATAAAGTTTAGTTTAAAAAGCCGATACGCAATTTAAAACTTTTCCATTTCTAATGATGTTTATTTTTAAGTTACAATGCCCTTTTTTTGTGTGTTTTGTTTTATATAACCAAACAATCTTATTCTTTACATTAAACTGCTTAAAAATACAGGTATTTAATAAATAATTTTCTCTTTCAAGGAAATTTCCACCGTAAATAAAGGGAAATACACTACTTAAGCACGAGAGACAAGCAGAAAAATAGATTCCGGGCATATTATTACATTTGTATGATGTGCTGACTCAAGTGCAAGCCGCCTTCCCGCCAAAATCAAAGTACTAATTTGCATGTTAAAAGACACGTTGGCAATGAAAAGCAGCTCTCTATACATTCACGGCATTATCTTTCGCTTATCAGACATGCGTAGGATGGCAGAAAAATCTCGAAATACCAGAACTACGATACCCCTACAGAAGAAATCAAAGCTTCTTTCACAACAGCGCTCCCTCCTCCAACTTTTTTGCGTTATTCGAGTTGAGATATTTTCAACAGCATAATTTCCCAACCCGGAACCCAGGCATCGAATATGTTTATAAAAGTCGATCAAGGGTATTTTTATAAAACATAACTAAGTCGATGTTCTTATTCTTTAGCATTCCAAAGAATAATATTGTTGCGTTTTTCTTTTCTTTCATCAGTTGTTGCGTTATTTTCATTATTCACGTTCGTACGGAGTTTGTGTGGATTTGGAGTGAATAACGACGACACTTGATGAAATATCGAAACACACTTTATTTAGCCAATATTAATCAGGGGAGATCCAAAGTCACTTTTTACAGTCGTCGAAGATGTACTATAAACACTCTGACACAATCAGCGACACAGCTTTCACGTTATCAAGCTATCACGGTGGAGACAGCTTCACTGCAAAGCACCAGACTACAGCTCCCGACTCTGCTTAATCGTTCTCAGAACTCCATGTAAACTCCAGACTCTCCATGCTACAACTCGCGATGCACTCGACGATACATAGAGCACAGCTCCCGACTCTTCGGTTCAGCCGTTTCCGGAGTTTAACACACTCTCTCGACGATACACTAACAGACTCTTCGACCACCCGCTCGGCACTCGCTGCCCGGCTGTCAACTCAATCGACTCCGCACGGACTAACGCGAGACGCACACACTAACTGACTGGGGACCTGCAGGGTTTATATAGCTTTCGGTTTGTGTTCGAGAACATTCTGCGCTAAATCGGTAAGAATTCATTCCAGAAGGTTCTCCAACCGTCCATGGTATATCGCCAATTTTGTGGTCAAATGGGCGATTTCTCGCCAAACGTGGCAACCCTGCCTTCCCTTGCTATTTTATGGCAACCCTAAACCTGCTCTGCAGGAAAGCTATCCCATCGCGCCTGTACATTTCATAATAATATCAAGAGAGATGTCTGAGCTAAGATCATCGCATTTCATTCTAGTGAAATGCTAAGATCCGATATAGTTCTAGAATTTGAGAACAACAAGGCCATAATATATTTGAGAGTTGAAAACAAAGAAAATAAATGTTTCTAATAATAATTTTTAAACCGATTTACCTCTAAAGCAAGCTTTCAAACATGGCGGCTTTAAGATTTCCGATAGCCTAGCGGTTCTTGTACTTCGACAGACAAAAAAAGTACCAAATAATATTTTCACAGAAATAAAGTTGATGCTGATGTTCTACATGCGCGTACACCATTCTTCATGCAAGAACTGGATTAATTGGTTTCTGAAATACTGTCTTTGTTGTCAACTTTTTTTTTTTTTTTTTAATCTGTTTTCTATAGACACCGAACATTCCGCCTAAATTAGAAGGTCAAGCTTTCAAAACCCATCAAAAACTGACTGAACGATGCCATTTGTAAGTTTGCGAATTTACGTGTACAAGCACGGGGAAGTGGGGACAGTATCCTTCTTGCTGAATAAATTATGTCTATTGCAATAAACGCAAGATAAGCAATGAAAAGTAAGCAATAAATTACACAGTAACAGCCACATCTACATATTCTTCGGTGAAGTGTTTGCGAAACTGTTTTCCTGTTTTTAACATTCTTTAGAACTTGAAATCAGAATCGTGCTCCGTTTACCAAAAATTTCAACATCACACGCAAAATCAACTTGCGTACTTTTTATTACAGTGGTTCACATTTGTTTCCAGATGCTTAACGTTTTACAATTTCATTTGCAAATAACAGTTAATATATATTAGCGAAATTAATTTATTTTTCTTTCACATATGCTATTCATATACTACCTGCTTGTTTTTTGAAAATGTTATTCGAAATCTTTTCGATAAAAAATGTAATTTATTCAGAAAGTTCTGAAAATGAACTCGCATAAGTATTCGGATACTTTGAAATAAAAGTTTATATCTAATAAAAACGTGAAAATAACGAAACATTAAATACTTCTTTGACTAAAATTACACTTTTTATGCGCTTCATTCAGCATGGATTTGACTAATTTTCTCGTGTATGAACGTTCCATTCCTCTCCGTGATAATTGCTTTTAATACAGCTTTAGGAGAAATGTCATGTTTACTTATTCTTTTCTCCAACTCACTCCGTATGTAAAATATGAACGAGTTTTGATAACTTTAGAACAGTATAATAATCACATGCGAACATTTAGGGTTGTATGTTTTACAAGTTATCCTAACAGAACTTGAATGTATAAGATATTCTCTCTGCCCTTCCAGCATGCCTTTGTGATGTACCGGTACCACACCTGGCGCGTATTCGAGAGGTCCAGGTTCGAGTCCCGGCAAGGGTTTACTCATTTTTATGTCTCCTGCTTCTACACAACCTATTGACTTTACAAATGTGTAGAGACATTAGGAGTTTTTTGGAAGCAGGACACCTGAAAAATTAACATCGCCTTCGCCGGGAATCGAACCGCGGACCTCTGGAATATGCGCCCAGCATGCACACCACTACACCACGTCAAGAAGACAGGAGAAATGCCTTATATACTCCCCCTTTTAAAGGACGACTGGGGTTTTAGGGGATCCAATCGCCAAATCCTCAGTGTGGAGAATCATCATCCAACACCCTTTTTTAGTTCGGGCGCCACTGTAGAGACATTAGGTTTTTTTGGAAGCAGGAGTCATGAAATATTAGCAACGCCTTCG